TGACTCTCCACCACCAGCTCAGGACTGCTATCTTCAAGAGGAAGCTTGGCGATATAAGGGTTTGTCCTTTGCTTCTGATTTTTTTTACATACAGACCATTTGAAGCTAGACTTATTAGAGATAATTGTGTTCGCAGTAATATTCTCTGGAGAGTTGGTTATAATCCCAAAATAATTGGGCTTTGGGTTATAATCAGTTGGCAATCTAAAATTCACTTCAGGCCTTCTGTCTCCTAATTGGATTGGACTTAAGTGTTGACTTAAGCCCAACTTCTCTATTGGACTTTTTTTAGCTGACTTATTAGAAGAACTAGAGCCCTCACAATTCTGTCTAGTTTGCATAAGATTAGAGAAGCCCACATTGTTTAGGTCCAATGGCATATTACCACAATTAATACCAACATTCTCCTTTAACTCATCAGAATCATTGCCCGCATTGTGATTATGGCCTCCCATCAGAACTTGAGAACGAGTTGCTGCCATTCTCTGGATTTGTGAGGAATTAGGCGTAGCCAATTACCTCCAGATTTGGTTTTGTAATAAAATGGTTGGGTTAGGTGGCCTTGAAGCTTGTGATGTAGCCCCTTGATTATCTGTTTTTGTCACATTGCAATTAATGCCACTGCAGTCAAAGTAATTTTCTCTTTCCTCAACTCTAACATTTTGCTTCCCCCCTCCATGAACATGATTTTGCTTGCTTCCTTCAAACTCTTCTATCAAGGATCTTGCTTGTGATGTTCCCAGGAAGGCACCATACTTTGACTTGGTAGTATCGTAAGGGCATACTGTTTTGGCTTCGTTACAACTTTTCTGTTCATGGCCTATCCTGCCATAGCCATAGTAAAAGTTCTGAAGTTTTTCATACTTAAAGAAAACCCATATGTTGCCTACTTCTTTCCTATTCACCCAAACCCTAGATGCTAGCGGTTTCGTAACATCAAGCAACATTCTCACCCTTAGAAAGTTGTGCACCAGTCTATCTTGAACCAATGAATTTTCAACCTGTAGAACCTCACCAATACAAGAGCTTATTTTTACTGCACTATTTGTGCTTAACTTAGCTAGCGATAAGACATGAATTTGAACCCAAAATGGAGCTCTGGTAAAATCAATCTCATATAGTAAGACATCAAGGACCCAACATTGTAGATTAAGGAGGGCTCCCAAAACATTCCATGGACTCTCTTGAAGGATCTATTTGGGTTTCTCCTCATCTACGAAAATAAACAAAAACATATTAGGGCCAAAATCAACAATAGACAGCCCTTGAGGCTCCCCCCATCCCTTACGAATCATGCCCTTGACAGTATTCTTATTCAGAATTTTGTCTGCCATAATTTTTCCTATCAGAGATCTTTTGGTGGTGAGAGAACTTGCATCACTTCTACCCTCTATTTCCAACACCAGATCATCAGTTGTATCTCGACTGCTGCCTCCTATCTCCAGCTGTGGATTGCTAATTGACATGGTAGAGAAAGAAGAACAAGATTGCAATAACTAGAAAACAATAATGAACGAGAACCTGAGCTTTACTCAGTAGCTGCTCTTATGCAGAAAATAGGAAATTCCCTAGTAGGGAGAATGGATAATCCGGAGATTTAAAGAGAAGCTAGTTATGGATTTGTTATTATTAAGTAAACATACTCTTTCCCAGCCCCCAGCTGGAATATGTTGGCCCGTTGCTGTGTTTTCAACGAGTAACAAGCCCAAGTTTAAGGCCTTAATGAGAGACAAGAGGTTATCGTTCGAAAGAGACTAAAAGCCTAGCCCATATATTGAACGCTCGTGCAGTAGGCCTAGGCTGATACCATAAATTGTTAAGATTGAATGTTACTTGATATGCAGTAACAAATTGAATCATTACCTGTAGCTGAAACAACATAAAATAACGGGAAAATGCATCTCCATAGTAATTTTTCAAAGATGCCGATTCTAATAAATGGAGGGTAAAATTTGACAATATGATATGGAATTGGAATTTACCTACTAATAAATGGAAGAAATATATGCACACACTAAACTACTTTTTAAATTCACCCCTTAAGTACATATAATTTTTCAATTTTTGATTTCAAATTTGATCAGTGCTCCACTTTTTCAATGCAAAATTAATATATTAATACCTTATTGAATAAAACACACAATAACAACAAATAAGTTAGTTAATAGTTGAATTATAAGATTAATTTTAAAATTTTTACGATTTATCTAGAAACACAAAAGCAAAAGTTATTGTAAGTACATGTATGTTTATTATTTAACTATAGAATCACGATAAACCATAAGTGATATGACATGACACGAATAATATAATTATATATTCACACTATATAGTTTGATGCAATAATGAATGTAATAATTACATAAAATCTATAAGCACAATCAAATATAAAAAATATATATCCTTAAGATTTATCGGTCTATAAATTGCGGCTATCCCAACAATATGATATAAAAAAAAATTGAAAAAATTACCCTTTAAAATATTATAACCAACTGAAAAAAGGAGATATTAAATAGTGAATTGAAATAGCAATAAATAGAATCATTTTGAATCTTAAAAGGCAAGCGAGGATGAGAAATTTCATATCCTCAACAATTACTGATCCTTCAATTTGAGTCAAATTGTGGCTACGCGACAATGAGAATTGAGATTACTTAAATTTGTCCAATTAGAAAATATTGACATAGTTATTTGTGTCAATATTACTAAAAATGGTTGTATTTCAATGTTTGATCTCAAGTGATCAAATATTAATATATGCTCTATGTGGTGTCGATAAATCAATACCACATTAGATACGATAAAAACTCAGAGATATATAAGATTTTTCTTGAAAAAATTACCTCAACAATATACGTGTATAATTATGATAAGTGTTGAACTACCCATACAAAAATAGATGGACTCTCAAAGATTAGGCCTATTTTTCAACCCTTTACACAAATTTTACTAAAAAAAAATAAAAAATACACTACATTAATTTGAGCAAGATTCTACAATTACACTAAAGTTGTTGCTCTCTCAATTTATTGCTCTCCTTAAACCCATTCCGCAACTCCAAGAACTTGTTAACAATCCTTTTGATCTTCCCATGAAGACAAAACCAATAATGCTTAACCAACACTATTTATATGATAAAAACTCTTTATTATTAAGAGTCTATCAATAAAAACAAGAGTTTAATAGACCCTTTATCATTTTAATATAAATTAAAGAGTGAGTTTAACTCTCTAGTCTCTACATATAGAGAGTCAAATTTCACTATCTATCTTAATTTTAATTAATAAACTTTAAGTTTCTATACATTTTATTTATTAATTATCTCTCTTGTTAAGTCTCTTTCTTGACATCTTTATTAAATTTAAAGAGTCCATTTGATTTAAATAAAAAATTTATTCTTTATATTTACAAATTAATGAAAATGATTTTTATTTATACGAAATATGCTTTTTAACATAAAGAGAGAGATACTCTTACATCATAGTAATAAACTCTAGGGGGGTGTTTGGCCGGGGTTTATGTGGGATTACTAGGGTAATTTCATCTTATATTACTTAATTACCATGTTTGGTTGTTAAGTAATATAAGATACCGATAATCTTCAAATACCAATAATGGTTACTATTAATAATATGGGAGGTAATCTGATTATCTTCATTTTCTTAGGTATTCTGAGATTACCAAGGTTATCATTTTTTGTTATAATTTTATTTCTTATTAATAAAAATTTTGGATAATAATACCCCTACTTTAAAATAATTGTAACCTGATTATCTCAATTTTCTTAAATGTCTTATAGTATTTGACTGCTTTGCTCTAAAAAAAAAAATTGTAAAAACCGGCGTTCTAAACATGATGCGACTTTACTTTGGATGCATTAGCTAATTTTTATAATAGCCCTACATTTTCAAATCAAACCCCCGCGCTCCAAATACCGGACTTTTCATTACTTACTACCTAATATTATTTAAAAATTTAACACTTACTACCCTTATGTGTGATGTCGTCAAAGAAAAAGTAACAGTTTATAAGTATTTTATTATTTTAGCCTTTATCGTGGTAGGAAAACAGTAATGACGTTATGGGTAAAGTAGTAAATTACCTTGTTACCCCTAAGTTGTTAGTAGTTATTTTTGACGGTGTAAGACGTAAGGGTAGTAAGTGTTGAAAGTCCTATATCTGCCACATTTGAATGATGTGAAAATCTAGGGTTGGTTTGTGACATTAGCCATTACAGAAATCAATAAAGAGTTTTACAAAACCTACATCGCGCGATTTCTCCCCCGGGAATCGCACCCTGAAATCCGCATTCTTCATCTGCCGGAAATAGCCGCCGGAAGCTTCTCGCCGTCGTCAGTTTACCACCGGTGCGAGCGAGGTTACGCCTTTCTCCGCCGGAGAGGTTTGACTTCTCCCAACACATTGTAATATTCAACTTTCTCATGTTATTAGATCAAATTTAAAAAGATTAAATTTGAATTTTCAATTAAATATGAGCCGATTTTTTCCTCTCGTTTCGTTTCTTACCGTTTCGCTTAACTTTGTATCATTGTTATTGTTATTTTAAAGATTTGAAATTGGATTAAATTTTGAGTATTTCTAAAGAAGAATAGCTGTAATTATGTTGTAAGAGTGAGAGTTCTTGAACTGGAACTGAGTGAAATTGAGAACTTGAGTGTCCAATTAGCGTGGCGACTTCTTTTTCTTGTGTAGCAGTCTTAAAAAATTTTGTTCTAATATTTTTGTTTTTGTTTTATTGATTTGTGCTAGAGGGGCAGTTACAGAGTTATAAGAAAACGAAATTACGTCCTCTTCTCTTATAGCATTTGGGGATTCGATTCTTGATACGGGCAACAAGAACATTTCACTGCATACAAGAAGGATTTATTGTGGAAAACCAGTTTTCTTTGTGTTAACATGGATGTTGTAACTTCAGCAGTTGAGAAAGTAAAGGGGTTTGCAATATCAAGCCAAAATTTCGTTAATGGCCTTATACATCGCCCGCAAAATTCATACAGCCACAATCCGGTATTTCTCTCTCACTTTTTCATTTATTGTTTATTAACATTGTATGCTGTTGCATTCTTGCTCTTATTATTGTTCTACTATAAACCCTTGTTTATACCTTGCCCAAAACACCAATCAGGTTGTGTTTAGCTGAAATAAATGAAAGAGGTGTAATCTTAAGTGCTAAAATAGTGGGAGCAGTTCTCGAGAAATCAGACGACTATTGGTTTGGTCTTTTTTGACTTGAGTCCTTTTTTCAAATTGGGTGCAACTCTGAGGGCTATGGTTTGAGACTTTGAGCCAAGATAGCATAAAATTGAATATACCATCCTTTTGCTGGTGATGTAGAAGAATTTAAAGTTAATTTTGACTTTCCTTTTGTAGTCCATACTTTCATTAGGATTTAGGTAATGAACGTTGCACCATAAACCCTTTTTCTATGCCCGGAAGTAGAATGGATCAATTTCATTTCAAGAATGTACATATGTTAGGCTTTCTAGAATAATTCTTTATACATGATGGACTAGTACTCTTAATTTAAGGTTTGGGACAATCTTTAGCCTCTTTTCTTAACTAAAATGTTATGTAATTTCACAATGTAACTTTACATAGGAGAACATTTCATTTAGAATCAAGCACACATATATTTTATATTGTGTTATAAAGTCTTGAGAGCTTGTGAAATATGGTCTGTATGTACATTTGGGATCACAGTTTATCTTTGACAAAGTCGGTGCTTCCATAGGTAGCGACAAACTGCATGTTGGAGCTTTACAACTCTTCCCATGGCATTATTTTCAGATTGAAATCTTGAAGCGGTTGCAAAGAGAAGCATTCTCAGATTTGATGAAACTCAGAGACAGACAAGACAAAGTTGAGCGAGTGCTTTCCTTCTATAAAACATCCAAGGGAAGTCCATTCCAAGAAGCTAGTACTCATGTAAGGGGAGAAGTTGATTTCCTGGGAGGTATATTGATGATGAGAGATATTGATTCGCAAAATTTGGATGCACTTGATAGAGCAGGAGTTAGGACTGGGATAACTTCAAGGTTTATTTTTGAAACAAGTCTTGGGCAGAATGATAGTCTTGTAGCAGAGTTGATAGCCAGTGAAACAGGCAAAGGAAACCTTGGTGATATTTCAGGAATCCCACTTTCTCTCACAAAACTATTGTATACAGCAAATGTTAGTGATTGGTGTTCGGCAACTGCAATACCAGTGGGAACTCAATGCAGAGATTTTGATATCACTAGGAACTCTTTCCAACAGGTATTATCTGTTCTTTATATACACCTCTAGTAACCTCAGTTAGATTAACATTAAAGATATTTCGCCTTCATATGAACTTGATTAGAGATCTTAAGCTGGAAAGAGAATGCACGTATCCTGATTCTTAATCTTTGTAATTATATTCTCCGGATGTCAAAATGTAGGACTTTTCTGCAGTATTATTTTGTCATTTATTTGTTTTGTTTCTAAGAATTCCTCTATTTGACAGATAAGTTAACTTGACTTATCATTTTTCCTTAGCGTGGTTCCATTTTCATTTTTGGAGATTGCAACTCTGTGGAATCTAGTTTTAAGTAGGATTCTTGGGTTCTCCATTTCATCACTTCAGTTGCTTTGTCATTGAAATTTTTTACTGCTCTAGATGATTTAGGTAATTAAAGAGGAATGTATTTTTTGTATGACAGGGAAAAGGCCTCACTTATATTTCATCTTTTGAGCCACCCCTATTGAGTCAGCATAATGGTAGTGCTATTGGCGTAACAGTTAGAAAATCAAATGTTGTTGCATCGTTGGGTCAATCTGTTTCTGGACTGAGAAGGCCACTGGGTTCTGATGGATTTGGACATTGCTTCAACACTTTTGGGCAAGTTGTTTGTCTGCTTCCAAGAGGAATAAGACTCTCTCTTATGGGTCTTCACCAAGTGCCTAAAGTACTGGATCACCGTCTCAGTCTCGGAGCCCTTACAATTCCAGTAGGCTTTTTGAAGCAGCACAAGTCTTCTGAGAGAATGGTTGAATCAGCTGCTGCTGCTCCTGTGTCTTTGAGAATAAACACCCCGGAAATGCCCTCAACTGGATCTATTGCTCTGAAGCTGGAATCAGAGCTTGATGACAGTACAAAAGTTGGAGGTTGGATTGAGATGCAAAACTCAAACTACAAGCATCTCCGTTGGGCTGTCACCGTGTCTGATAATCCCGAAGATGACATAGGATGGGGAGTAAGTCTCAGTGGGATTGAAGGTCCTAGAGGATGGGACCAATACCAGTTTGAATCTTTTGCAGATCTTAGCTTAGGGAAGAGATTCAACTTGAAACCGGGTGTTGCATATGTGGTGGATGGAGATGCCAAAACACTCGCCCTTATGCTTCGATGTAACTGGTCTCTCTGATTACCCTCGGGTTCCGGATATCCTTTTTGTATATTTTGTAGTTTTAGCACCTTCTTTTGAGTAGATTTTGGAGCTAGAAGAAAAAGAGAGAAGTGTTCATAACGGTGGGGATGTTATTTTAGTCACCTACAAGATCTAAACGTAAACTGGTCTGAACACCTTATTCTAAAATATCATATGGGTATCAGAATATTAGTGGCTCGTAGTCTTGTACTACAAGTTAATATATTTATGTCATCTATAATTTTTTATAATTCTCATTTATTTTTTATAATTAATATTATTGATATTTATTAAATTAAAAAAAATAAGTGACATTTATATAATAATTAATGGTACGGTTGATGTTGTACTCGGACAAACCAATATATGACATGTACTATACTAAATTCGTGGTAGGGAAAAATAAAAAAAAGTAGAGAAGTTACCTTCGTCCGAAAAAGTGTGAAACCTTCAACTTCAAATATCTGAAAGTGGATCCGAACGAACCATCTGGACTTGGAATTTAATTGAATTTGTGGTCATGACTCATGACAATTAAAGGGCAAAATCAGAAAGAGATGGCGATGAGATTATCTTAAAAATGCATGCAGTCAACGGTAGCTTTGTGGGTCAGTCAAGATGATAAGGTGAAATTGATGGGTGCTGAGAAATTATATAGGTGAGTTTCTTGAGAATTCAATGACAATCTCATCAATATTGCTTTTCCTAATCACCTCTATCATGTGTGACGATAGAAACTCTTTGATATATTATTTAATAGGCAAAAAAAATTAGATTATAAGTATTTGAGATATATTTAATGGATCTCTCAAATATGACAACATTCATTGTGTAAAAAATGAATTTATAAAATGAAGAAAAATCTTGAATATAAATAATACTGGATTTCTCTGTCACGCTATTTGAGAAACGAAATGGGTTGGCCCAGAACTATTGTATAGAGGCACAATATAATAAAAATCATACTAAGTATTTCAGCTCAGAAATTTGGGAAACGAAATGGGTTGGGCCAGAGGTATTGTATAGAGGCACAATATAAACAAAATCATACTAAGTATTTCAGCTCAGAAATTTGAGAAACGAAATGGGTTGGGCCAGAGTTATTGTATAGAGGCACAATATAAACAAAATCATACTAAGTATTTCAGCTCAGAAATTTGAGAAACGAAATGGGTTGGACCAGAGTTATTGTATAGAGGCACAATATAATCAAAGTCATACTAAGTATCCCTCCCCTTAAATGGAATTATAGAATTTACCAAAGGACATATAAATGGAATGGTGTCAGGTGATAATGGTTGTTGTATTGTTGACAGCAACAATAAATAATCACACGACCACCAATAATGGTAAGCGCATCTAAGCTTTTTCTGCTGCTTTTGTGTCCTTTGCAAGAACGGAAACCTAAATGGGCTTTCTGACGCTCTTCTTACCGGGGCTTCATTTAAATCGTATCTTCATTACACAGAATCAGAGTTTTTCTTTTTTTTTTTCCTTTTTTTTTTTTTTTTTTTGTAACTGGGGTATCTGAGCCAATTTACTTATACTTTAATTAATCTCCGAAGCCTATTAAAAGTCTTATAAGTCCAATATTCTTGATAAGTCACAAATATGATAGGTAATCCCAAGGTAATTTAAAGAAGTTAATAAATAAAGAAAACTTTCTCGATTATGAGGCCAATCCCTTAGGATTAATCGAAGTTCATATTAGGTTCGCTAAAAACATAATGCACAAGTACAATTACCAGTGGTTGGGCTTGGGCAACATTACCCTCACTTACCACCCACCCTTAGATCTTCGTACAAGGTATCTCTCCATCTAACCTTGAATTGAATTTCATATATAAAATGGATGTAAATAATTTTCTCACTTTTCTCATTGTTACAACTAGTATAGAATTTCAAGTGATTATAACGTCTTTAATGCTACTATAACTCAATGTATCTAGAAAGTATAATGCATATTAGTAGTTAATAGATATAGAATTTGTTATTGTTTAAGTAAACATACCCTTTCCCGGGTGGAATAGGTTGGGCCGTTGCTGTGTTTTCAAACCAAGCCCAAGCTTAAGGTCTTAATTGTTTTAAAGATACTAAAAGCCTAGCCCATATATTGAACGTTCATGCAATGGGCCTAGGCTCATTTTATAAATTGTTAAGATTTAATGTTACTTGATAGACAATAATGAACTGAATCATTACCTGTAGTCGAAATCGCATAAAATAATGAGAAGAATAATACAACACATATATTATTTTCATACAATATTTCCCCTACAACATTATGTGGCAAGATATGATTGGGTGAAAGTTTAATTTTAACTTCAAATTAGCCAATCATATCTTGCCACATAATGTTGTATGAAAATAATGTATATGTAGTATTACTCTAATGAGAAATGCATCTCCTTAGTAATTTTTCAAAGATGCCAATTTGAATAAAATGGAGGGTAAAATTGACAATATGATATGGAATTGGAATTTACCTACTAATGAATGGAAAGAATATATGCACACTTGAACTACTTTTTAAATTGTACATATAAATTTTCAATTTTCAATTTCAGATTTGATTAGTGCTCCACTTTTTCAATGTAAAATTAATATATTAATACTTAATTGAATAAAATATACAATAACAACAAAGACAAACCATATTGACATGACACAAATAATATAATTATATATTTATATGATACAGTTTGATGTGATAATGAATATAACCTTTACTTAAAGTCAGTAAATACAATCAAATATAATGATATATACCCTTAAGATTTGTCTGTCTATAAATTGCGGCTATCCCGACAATATGATATAAAAAAAATTTAAAAAATTATCCTTTAACATATTATAACTAACAAAAAATAGAGATCTTAAATATATAATTATATATTTATATGGTACAGTTTGATGCGAAAATTAATGTAATCTTTATTTAAAGTCAGTAAGTACAATCAAATAGAATGATATATATCTTTAAGATTTGTCGATCTATAAATTGCGGCTATCCCGACAATATAATATAAAAAAAAATTTAAAAATTATCCTTTAAAATATTATAACCAACAAAAAATGGAGATCTTAAATAGTGAATTGAAATAGCAATAAATAGGATCAATTTGAATCTTCAAAGGCAAGCGGGGATGAAAATTTCATATTATCAATAATACTAATCCTTCCATTTGAGTCAAATTGCGGCTTGAGATTACTTAAATTTGTCCAATTAAAGAACATTAAATAAAGAGAAGCCAAAAAAAATAAATAAATAAAGAGAAGCAAAAAAAAAAAAAAAAAAAAAAAAAAAAAGGAAAACTTAAATTGATAACAAATTGAAACAACAACAAAAGTAGTCGTTGAGACTTGACAGTAGCTTAAAAGTGCATGCACAAGAATTGAGTCCCTCACATCGAACAAATAAAATTGTGGCCGCCAGCCCGACAACGCGATGTGGTTTTTCTGGTTTTACCCAAATGATAATTACCCAAGTCAGCCATTAGAATAATTTTCAAGATTTAATTGAATGGGTTTTAGTCACAAGGGTCCCATCGCATCATTACTACATCTGGACATGCATGCAAAACGTAGCTAGCGAGGGGAAATGGGTTCATGAACATATACTGTCTATGACAGAAGTCACTCACATTAATCAAACACGTACACGGAATCACACAACAATAGTCTGTTTTTGGAAATTTCTGTAACCCATCATTAAATCCCATACAAATATTATGTAATTATTCAATTAACTCCATATAGATTCATTAATAAGCAATAAATATAAGTAAACGATAATGCCGACATCGTATTGATATAATAAGGTCCTAGGTGGTTCCTGTGTCGGTCTGAGCCATGTGCAACCTATGGCTATAACATGTTCTCAGCCACGTGGGGTAGTAGACTTTTAATGAAAATTTTAAAGACAGTTTTTCAATCAATATTATTAATTCACTTTCTAAGAGACTTTTTTAATCCACGATCATGTTTTAACTTTAAGAGATAAGATATTTTAAAATTTACAGCGCATTCAATGGTTATAAATCTTTCATTAATCCAATTATTAACTAGATATTTCCACTGCTCGATTGATATCAGTTCCTATTAATTAAAATCTAAATTAAAAAAGAGTCTTCTTCTTCTTCTTTTTTTATTTAACAAACGTGAAACATCATATGTATATCTTATATAATGAATAATTATATTCTTCATTTAACACTATGAGTGTATTAAAAGATAATATATCAAACCCTTGTTGGAATATTTGAAATATGAGTTGAGCTTTAACTAAAACACGTAAAAGAAGAGTTGCTTTGCTAAGGTGAATGCCTTTGTTTCAAGGATAAAAGGGGAATTGTGAGTATGGACAAAACCAAACTAATTATGCCTAGACTAAAAATGAATCAAACAAGTAATTAATGATTTTCTTTTTTAAAACAAAATTATGATAATGTGTTGGTATAAATTTGCCAGTGAAAATGTGCCACTTGATCCGTTTAAGAAAAATCGGCCATATATGTCGGCGCTGATGGTAGTGCTTGATGATGAACGTGCATCACGTTTAAGCAATTGTATCCTTTTCCCCACCTCAGGTGATCCCCCCACTTCTTTGTACCACTTTCTTTACGGCCAGTGTACTGTCACTGTTCAAACGTCGGCCTAACTAATTACAAATTCTTATCTCAGTAGCATTATTAATGCACTTAATTAGGCTGGTTAATGCCTCGCCATTGCATAACTTCTAAGATTATTAAAAGACCCATAAAAGGGTTTATTCCGAGAAATCGAAGACTTTATATGCAGATAATTAATGTGAAAGTTTCTTTTATTAGATCATCGGGTTGTAGTAATAAAATCCCATTGTGATTTTTTTGGTTAAATATCATAAAATACATGTTCAAAATCTTTAAAACATTTTGATAATATAAAAAACAAAATTGCTGACGAATGCGGGCCATTAACTTTATTTCACAGATTGTTTCAGCCAATATGTCCCGAGTCTTCGCTGTCAACAATGCACTTTGGTATAATAAAATGATCGTGCTTTGCAATTTAGTCCGATTAAGATGGTGACCTTAGTGGTCCTTAATTTGCCGTGACAACTGAAATATTTTATTTTATTTACATTTGAAAGGAAACTGGCGCGGTACATCATTGGAGAAACGAAATGGATTGGCCCAGAGCTGTTGTATAGAGA